TTCCACATTTCTTATTTTTCATATTCTGCCCACTCATTATAGCAATTTGTTTCGTTCGAATTTTACTGGTTTTCTTTCACTTTTTGGTTGGTTCAAGCTTTTGTGAGTAAACTGTTTCACCTCCAACTACATCCGTGTATCTTTCATACTGTTGCAAAGATTTCAACTGTTTTTCCAGTCTCTTGATTTCTTGATATAATCTTTCATTCGCCTCTATAAGGAAAGACATCTCTTTGACAAAGTTGTCATTTATGAACTGCAGAGTTTTCAACTCCTCCTTCAGATTATCATTTCTCTTTTTCTCTTCCTTTGTTATAGATTCAAATTTCTTCCTTTCGGTACCCAAAATTTCATCTCTTATAGTATTCGATGTTCTTTCACTTTTTGTTTTCATGATATCATTTTTATTTCTCAGTTCTCTGAGTTCAGTTGTGAACAATTCGTTCTCCTGGGAGAGACTTTCGATGACTTTCAACATGTTTTGTTTGCTTATTTCCAGGTCCTGTATATCTTTCTGTAGCCATTCCTCGACAGCTGATTCGAAATCTACTTCAGTCATCAGGTGTCTGTTCAATTCAGTTTGCTTGATTAGTTCTTTATTCAGCTCAGCAATAGTTTGCATTTGTTCATCTAATTTCTTGACATAGTTCTGTTCAGCAGAAAATACGTCTTCTTCAAAGCTTATAGAAACTCTTTTCAATCTTTGTTTATAAACGTCTTTTTGTCGATTTTCTATATGAAGTTTGTTAATTTCGTCTCTAAGATTCCTCGTGTTTACTACTACTACTTCTTACTCTTCCAAATGACCATTCTTTGTTTTGATATCATCTTTCAGCTTTCCAACCTCCTCAAATAGTTTATTCAATTGATCGTCATTACTCTCTTTCTGTCTAGCACACTCTTGTGAACAAATTATTTTATGTCCTTCAATTTTCGTCATTCGCTGCGTTCTATTCAGGCAGCTGAAGTGGAATATATTCAGGCACGCGAACATTAGGACACTCCTTAGTTTTACAGCACGTAAATGGTGCCTCCATGTTAACAGATCCACTTGAGGTGGAGCCCGGTATAGGACGGATCGCCTTAAGTTGATATATGGAAGAACACTGAGGCGTTATCGGTTTTTACGTAGGGAGATTAACTGAACACTTTTTCAATGCACAAATCCACTGATTCACGAGGATGTCTTCTATTTCGATAATCAGATTTCAATTCAGCATCACTAATCAGTCTATGATTTTGTCGCCACTCATGATAGTTATTATGTACGTATACTAGAGGAGAATGTCCTCTTTCAGCCGGTTTGGAAACCCAAAACAAATTCACTTAATTCGCTATAGAATACAGAGAAAACAGATACCACAACCGATACACGTCGTTCTCGTGGACTTCCATACAATTTCGGTAGTCGGAGTTGAAGTTTCTTGTTGTGCCTGTTGTGTACGTTGTACCCGTTCTGATGTCGTCTCATATAATCGTTGCGAACTGAATAGAATACAAGGATACAGTGTGCAGATTGATGTTGTCGAAATATCTTCACTTGCCTATTGTTTTCGTTAAATGTCTGTAAGAGTCTTTATTCTGGGGCCCTTACTTTGACACTTGTCGAACAGGCTCCTGGGACCTTTCGGGGTTTCTCGTGCGCCAGATTTTTGATAGAGGTGATTTTACTCCACCTGCTCCTCCCAACTGAGTCGGAAAGGAGGCCCAAGGTAGCAATAGTAGAGAAAGACATCCACTGGATGTCTGCAGTAAACCAGGGGTCGAAGCTATTGAATCGACCTGGGTGCAGGGGGCCAAGAGAGCATAGGCTCTAATTACACACTCCTGGGGATTCCTGGAATACTGGTTGCTCTGAATAGATGTTTGAGTCGACACTTCTTGTGACTTGAGTACTACAACTCTTACCGGTAGTTTTCTGGAATTTGACTTTGTTCTGTACCTTTGTTGTCAGGATAGGGAAATCAGAATCACATAAACAGGTCGAGTATAGGTTTATTCAACTCCTTTCGTTCATCAGGTTACAGGCATTAATTAAAGAAAGCAACATCTATTATACAAACAGGTTGAGGTTATGATGTGAAAATTATGACATTCGAATATATGCGAGTACAATAACCAAGCGTGTCTAGTACGTTAGGTGTAAGCAAAGGTGCAAGTGCAGGTGCAAGCAAAGCAGGGACAATGAACCACCGAATACGACCGGAAAAGTTGCAAGCGGGGGTTTATTCAGGAAAGTGAGTTTGGTATCGACAGGAATACAGGGATGAAATAGTTTAGTTGAATCATTAACGCGGAACAGACTGGTGAAAAGTACTCCTTCAGAGTGTAGCTCTAACTCTGGCTCATAGCAGTATTCAGAAGCCGTCTGCAGGTTGACTTGCGAATCCAACTTTTCTCAAACAGAAGGAGACGGGCCCTGGATCCACGCAGGCGGGCTTCCAATCTCGAAACAATCGGAGTAGGGTGTCCCTAAGCTCGTGGCGAGATCCACCCAAAGGTTGAGCCGCAGAGCAAAACTCAGGAGACACTACTATTTTCGGTACAACAGCTACGTTACTTATTAACTCTGAACGTCTGAACGTGGAGTATTCTTTACCAGACAAAGTTTCAATCTACTCAGGCGATATTTTACTAGATACAAAACTCACTCAGTACAGGGTGATAAACTATAAGCAATACAATAAGCGTACGCAAACCAATTTGAAATAGCTCACTTGGATGAAACAGGAGTACTGCTTGCTGCGAAACACTCGACACTGCTACTGACGTGACCGCGAAGGTTCGGATATCGGCCCGGGAGACGCAAATCTATACACTCGATGGATTTTTCAAAAAATAATACAGGTGACAGGTGTTAGGTTATGATTTCCAAAATTGTAGCAGAAGGCATGAACCGGAAAACTGAAAAATATGCTGGAATTGAACTGACTGGAAATGTGAAAAGGGACTGAAATCTGAACTGGAATGTAAAGCAAACTGGAATAGCTACCCGGAAAAATAACTGGAAAAATTAACTGGAAAACAATGTGGAATTGTGAACTGGAAAAATAGCGCAAGCACAGGAACACTGGTAAACCGACTGGAAAGTGATACCGGAGAATCGAACTCGAAGAACTAACTGACGGTCGGACTAACTCACTCTGGACTGACTGCTAACTAACTGCTCGCTCTGATGGACCGAGTATTCATGTCCTGCCTAGACCATGACGCAACTTGAGCAAGGCCAACAGCTATCCTTGCTCCTGATTGGCTAGCTTCGACTGACCTCGTGAAAATGCCGGTAACAACCGTGAGCATATTTACGTTTCCTATACAGCCAGCGCGATTGGTCGCTCTCACGAGATAGGGAATGGAGTGCATCCTGGAGCACTCCGTTTCCTAGCTGATATGCGCGACCAACGATAAACGACCATCGGCTGCTCTGTGGTGCATGGGTCAGGATTATTTACAGATTTTGTTTCCCACACTAATTTTCAGTCTGAAGAAGACACAATTCGACAATGAAACGGAAGTTTATTTATGCGGAATATTCAACTATACAAGAAATATAAACAAAATATATCGTCGAACCATTAGAAATGCTTTTCAGTTCCAGATTACTTTGTTTTTCTTAATGGTTATAAATATCATGAAAGTAATCGAAAATAATTATTAGTGCGCACTACCATGACTTACAGCGTTCGTGGTATTTTGTAGGATGTTTGCTAATGATGAACGCTTTCTGCGAGGTCTCTTCTTCGAACTTATTCCGCTGCTAGATGGCCGAACGGCTTGTATAGCTTTGGCACCTCTGTAAGTAGATGTTCTTCTAGCAATAAAGATAGGTTGAACATTAATTCTGTGAGACTTTTTCTGACTAGTAAACGAGGAACATAGAGCATAGAAAGAAGCTTCGCTGTCCATTTTCTTCATCTGCCTATTGAACTTCGTCACAATAGGCAATAGTGCTGGATAAGATTCCACGAAGCTGCTAATCTTTTCCAAGTTGTCTCTGAATTCTTTGAGTCCGACTGATCCATCAGGTTTAGTTTCGTTCACTTCAACCGAAAAATTATTTCATTCATCAGGAGTCGTCTCATTAAGGCCATCTTCCGTTTCCAACATCATGGGTTCGCCAAAATCTACAGTAATTTAGTTATCTTTTTCTTTATCCATATCTTCGAAGAAGTTGGTACTACTGATAGTATTTCCAAGTGCTAACATAGCAAGTTCTATTTTGTCTTGTAAAAAAATATTAGGAACGTTCTGCATCTGCACACCAGTATTATATTAAGCGCACAGATGCTTGCAAAATTTCCCTCCTGCCCCTTCTGGACAGTCACAAGGGAACACAGTTATTCAGCAACTAATTGCTCTTGGCATTCTAATGATGATAATAAACAATAACACGAGGGAACGTCGATGGTCGTTGGTCGCGCAAATCAGCTAGGAAACGGAGTGCTCCAGGATGCACTCCATTCCCTATCTCGTGAGAGCGACCAATCGCGCTGGCTGTATAGGAAACGTAAATATGCCAACCGTGAAATCCGAAGTTGTCCTTGGAAAAAGAAAAATGCGGAAATAATATTTCCTTGGCCAAAAGGGCCTAGGCACCTGATCAACCTTCTTTGCGGAAGCTACTGAATCAATTTTTATGTCCTACAAGCAGAGATATCCAAGTTATTGCTAGGTAAATATTTGCATCTTCAAGGTCTAGGCCGAACATGTGGAAATCATGAATTTTCAGGAAGTCTTACAATCAGGGGCTTTCAAAAGTTGCAGGAAGTCCTCTCGCATCTCCAAGACAGGCTTTCATTTCACTCTATTCATCAGGATTGCTTTCCAAACATAATAGAGGCTACCAAAGAACTTCCCGTAGTTGTATATCGAAGAGTCAATTTCTGGAGCTAGGACAGGGCTATAATGACACGAAAGACATCCCTAGTAGTTGGTATACGAGCTCGATATCTCGCAGAACAGGTATTCCATGAGGAGGTGTGTAACGAACTGCATATTTTCAATATCAGCTAGATGTCAAGTAGAAGGTAAGTATCTGAATTATAAGCAATTATGGGACCCCTGTATCTTGGGTGATAACTGATTTCACTGGAATATTAGCTCGGAATGGAAATCTATACGATAAGACAGGAATTTAGATAGAAACCGTTGCTTAGTAATGAAGTCCTAAAAAACACTTCATTACACACCCCTCCTTCTTACGAAAAAAAAAATTGAAGCTTCAGCTGCAATTTTTTTTGTATACATATACCTATTTACTCAATTAACTTAGGTATCCTCGTCTGTTAGCTGGTTCTGGTGAGCAGGGCGACATGCCTGCTGTGACGGGTTTCTGGTAGCTGGTTCTGGTGAGCAAGTCAAGCTGGGTTCACCTGGACGGCGGGTAGTCAGGCTGGGTTTGCCGGGACTGGTGGCATCCGCGACGATGATGCCGGAGCTGATGATAGTCAGGCTGGGTTCGCCTGGACTGGTGGTGATCATGCTGGATTCGCCGAGACTGGTGACATCCGCGATGATGATGCCGGTGTCGAGAGGGTTTAGGCTAGGTGCGCCAAGCCCGACAACATTTGGCGTCTCGGGGTCGCTTTCCCATCCAGCGGTGTCGTAGATCGGCAGGGGCGA